GTTCCACTCATCCAATGATGCTGCAACTATAATTAACCCCGAGAAAATATCCAGTGGAAAACTGCTGTCAAACGGTCTGATAAACTTCTACAAAGGACAGAAATATAATACAATTCACTGGATTGTTATATTATTTCAGCAGATAGCCAACAATGCTGGAGTGACACTAGAAATAACTTCTTTAAAGAAGGACATTCGCGAACCGGTTGGGGATTTAAAACCACCAGATTCTAGTTTTGTTCTAGAGATTTTAAAATAATTTAATGCAAATTCACAAACTAGCATGATTTGAATTAACATTTTCTTGTTTAGTTCAAACCTTTGGTATATTACTACACAACCACTGAACTACGGATGCTGAAAATATGAAATAAAAACAGAAATTGCTGGCAACATTCAGCAGTTCTGGCAGCATCTATGGCAGTATAGCAGAGTTCATGTTTTGAGTCCAGCAATCCTCCTTCAGAACAGCCTTTGTTAACTCTTTTCTCTCCACAGATGCTGCCAGACTTGCAGTTCCCCCATTGATTTGTTTTGGTTACTAAAAACCTGAAATAACATACAGCCAGCATTTTGACTTTAACGATTTTTCACTAAAAAATTGAATTTTATTCAAGATACCATCTACAGCATGCCAATTATTAATTTATGGTCAACTCTAGCAGAGTAATAACGACAACCATAGTTACCCATGCCTGTTAAGCACAGCTTATACTAATACACCAGCTGCAATTCTCATGCTGTCACCTCAAAACCAACACGTTTCAAAGTGCGGGTAGCAACACATCTGAAAATATATTGAGTGGCCCCAGAAAATTCACTGGGCACTGCATTAACTATTCTAGCCGTTTGAAAGAAATCCACATCGGTTTCACCATCAAGCAGTTCCAATTGGAGGCAATTCCTAATTCTTTAGCCCAGGAAAAGAGCATCAGAAACAAAAACAGGGAGTGAAGCTGAGAAATAAAAGGAAGCCAGGAGGGGCTCTGGCTGTAAGCTGCAAGACTTAACCAGATGGGAGGGTGGAAAATTAAAAACAAAATCATGAAGACACGCACAGGAAAGTAGTTATGTGGTGCAAGTATGCTGGGAAACTTTAAATTTAATCTAACTATAATGTAATACCTTATCAATAAATTAACATGGTAACTAAAAGTTAAAGCTAGCTATATATATGAAGTGAAAAGAGTGCTTGTTTAAACAATTACATCTAGACTATTTAGTATTCATCCAAATGACATGGATAGGAAAGGTTTAGAAGGATATGGGCCAAGTGCAGGGAAATAGGGTTAGCATGGACGGACATTTCGGTCAGCATGGACTGGTTTGGGCTGAAGGACCTGTCTCTGTGCTGTAGGACTCTACGAGTCTATAATATTGAATGGCAACACAAAGGCTGTCTAATCTTTTTCCTTAAAATTATTTAAGATCCGTTAGACTCTAAGAATGAAGCAAAAACATTTTCATTGAACTCCCTACATCACAAAGTGAAGTCACCTGAAGATAAGCAGCTGACTGTTGAACAGTTGGTGAGTCTTTATTACATTTTTAAGCTTACTACTTAAGTAAAGGTATTGTAAGGCAACTTCAAAAGCTTGAAGTATGCATCCCGTTCTATGTAGGAACTTCAGAATGCTTCCTGTGTCCAGGATGGCCACATGTTCAGGTGCTGTAGTCAGCTGCAGATTTGAAAGTTTTAGCAGCAACCAACATCACTGCAACACCCCCAAAAATTTTGCAGTTTCAAGGTTTGCGTGTCTTATTATGACGCTGGACTTAAAAACTTGAAACAGTCCCCTTTAAGATCAGAAGTAATTTGCAGAAGGGGATGGGATCCCACACAAAATCTGCCAAGACAAGACAATTTTACCTTATCCTAAAGCAGTTCAGACAGGTAAATATAACCAGGATGCCAATGGGACAGGAGCCCAGGTCAAAAGCTTATGACGGTAAGGTGCAAGTTTTAACATTTTGACACAGTAACTGACAGACAAAGGAGTTGCTTCTTGGAAGGGTGGAAATCTCATACGGAATCTGAAAAGGAACAGCGTGCTGAGGTCCGACACACAGCAAGGACGTTTTCAGGTTAACCGCTGAACAGAGCGTTGGTGAGGATAGATACCTGGTTCCAGGATAAGACTCATGAAAAGTTAAAGACTATGGTATCACCAGTGTGTCTTGCTACTGGAGATCTACTTTATTATGAAATGGTAAAATTACCTTTTGTAAAAAAAAATTAAAATAAAGTAAGGTTAGTCTTCTTCTGAGTAAGCAGTGTAACGTAAATAACATGATTTGGGTTTTCAGTCGTGTAAGAGATTAATAGGAAATACCTTTTCCGTAGTTTAGTATATTAGCTTAATCATTATTTCATAGTAAACTGAATTTTAGTATCTTACAATAAAAGTCTTAAAACAAAGTCTTGTTGAGCAATCCTCCAAGTTGGTCACTCGGAAATTCACATCTCTTAAAACATTGCAGGTAACTATACAAATCATACCAGACTACAGATATGGTCATTCCACAGCTTAAAGTCATGGAGACACAGCAGTCAAGGAGAACCAGGTGAGTAGTGCAGCACTCAATGTATCTCCCTCTTCCAACTCACATTCCATTTTGTTATTGACAAGAATAAATAGTTCCTCTCGGATGTGCAGTGAGTCTAGTCTACAGCACCATGGCTTGCTGAACTACAATGGGGAACAAGGAGAAGATCTGAAATCAATAGAACAGGGAGAGAAAGTCAAGCAGCACAGTACATAGCATCCTAGTCTGAGCTAAAAAGCTTTGGACCAGATTACTAGTAGAAGCATGGAGGTTGATGCCTATTCCAGCCAGGGTGGATTTGGGATCTGCCTCCTTGACTCAATAGTTGTGGAAGCTGCAGTGCTGTGAATCAAACCTTCCATCAGACAGAGAATTGAAGTAGTGATTGGGGAATTCAACAGTTAGCATGACAGACAGGTGTTTTTGCTGCATCATCCTTAAATTTAGGACATGACCCTGGTGATAAAGTAAAGGAAGTCACTAGGCAGCAGCACATTACTTCAAGGGCAAGAGTAAAGAAGCCAACAGTCACAGCTCAGATGGAAACTAATGACACTTAGAAACAAGGAAGAGGTTCTGCAGGCAGAACTTAGGAGCTGGGAGGGAAACTAGCAAACTGTATCTGAAAAAAGGTAGTCATCTCAGCATTACCAGTATCACACAAGTGAATACAGAAAAGAGACAGGAGCAGACAAATGTGTGGCAAGAGACATCACAGGGGGAAGGCTGTAGATTTCTAAGGGCATTGAAATTCATGTAAGTCAGACAGATTGCACCTTAACTGAGCTGGATATAATTTCCATGCAAAGTGATTTGCTAGGGAGGGTTTGAACTCATTTGACAGGAAAAACAGAATTAGTGGATAATGACCAAGGCTTAGATTGATACTAAATTATTAGGTGAGGTCAAAATAAGAAGGAATATACAGCTTAAATTAGATTTACTATGCACGTATGTGAATGTATTGAGGGTAGTAAATAAGGGTGAACTGCAGGTGCAAATTGCCACATAGAAATGGAAGCCTATAATAACAGAAGTCTGGCTTAAAAAGCAAATGGACAGAATGAAATATTCTGGATACAGGGTATTCAGGAAAGATAGAGAAGGAAAAGAGAAGGCAGGATAATAATATTGATTAAGGACAACATTACAGCGATAAGAGAGATGCTGTCAAAGGCAATCAATTTGGTCAGAGCCAAACAATATTGAATACCTTAACAGTGTTGGGTGTATACTATAGGACACCAACTAGTGAGAAAAGATACAGATTTAAGAAGACTTGGAGACACTATAATCAGGGCATTTAAATAGCCTAATATACAGAGGAAATAGTAGTGAAGTGTAAAGTCAGAGTGAGAGAGGCAAGAATTTTTTTGCACGTACAGGACTATTTTCCATAGGCGTGTTTCCAGTGCAATAAAGCTGGTATTTCTGGTTCCAGGAAATAAAGTGAAGTGTAAACAGGGAAACATTCATGAGACAGTGACTATAGCAACATAAGCTATGGAAAATGGCAAGCAGCAATCCAGCATAAAAATAATTATATCAGGGAAGGTCAATTTCAACAGGGTGTCAAGATTCATTTGGTGATTAAAGGTGTACAGGGAGGTCAAAATAAAAAAGGGAACAACGTTTAAGGTTAGGTTGGAATCAAAGTTTGGCAAAGCTAACTCAACAAGTGGTCATTCTGGAAGAGAAGACAGTTCAGGTGAAGTCCATGCTTGACAAGAGAGAAAGGTGGTGTTGACAAATCCAGATCTCCCTGCTCAAAGAGTTAGGCAGCAAGATGAAACGGATAAATAACACAAGAGTCAACCAGGCTGAACATAAAGTTTCTGAAGCAGGGTCTAGACCCAAAACGTCAGCTTTCCTGCTCGGTCTGCTGTGTTCATCCAGCTCTACACCTTGTTATCTCTGAACATAAAGTTTGGAGTGATCTGGACAGAGTAAATGATAGAGAAAGGAGGAGACCAGTAAAACCTGCTCTGCCATTTCACATGATCATGGCTGATCAAACACTTCAATGCCTTTTACTCACACTATCCCCATAACTCTTCACACCAATAATCAGAAATATACCAAGTGATACTTCAAATATACTCAAAGACTGAGTTTCCACAGCCCTCTGGGATGGAAACTGGGATAATTCTTTCCGGTTGGCAGACGAAACAAGAACCAGATGACACCAGCGTAATGTGAATAGCAAAAGGAACCAATGGCAACTGGAGAAAATCCTTTTGAAGATAAGCATTTAGGATCTGGAATTCACGACCTGAGCATGCAGTGGAGGAGTGTTCAAACAAAGCCTTTGTAAGTGAACTGGACAACAGGAAATCGCAGGTAGTGGGATCAGGTTAGTTACTCTCAGAGTCAACACAAATAAAATAGATCAAATGGCTTCTAATGGGCATTTATTTCATGATTCTAGTTGCATTAGAAGACTAATTTCTTACCTGGTTAATGATATACACCCCATAATCCAGTTGCTGGCGCTGAAGAATTGGATGCAAGTAAAACAACCAATACTTCAAATGCTCAAATCGATTGCGAAAAGGAATGATGATGGCAACTTTCTGAAGAGCTGTACAGTCTACTGGAGCAAATCTGCCTCCTTCCCTTAACAATGGATTAGTATTTTTCACATCTTCTAGATCAACAGTCTGAGAAAATTCTATTGCAAGTGGTCCCACTGCAGAGAAAACAAAATTCCAGAATCAGTTCAAAAAGAATACACACTGCTCAGAGGGGCTTTGGACAGCTTTGAAGCTGAGCCAGTGATAAAATGACTGGCATACTGGTACTTTCAATGATCAGTAGCTAGGACTTGAGGGAGATTTTCCTTGCAGCTAGGGAACCTCTACGTGTCACTCAGGTGAAGATTAGCTAAAGACAGCACAAATCAAAGAATCAAATTAGGAAGTCACATCCTTCAAGCACATAGCTCCTTCATCACTTCCAGCCTGAAAGAGCATAACCTATTCCAAGATCCAGTTGGTATCACACGTGCCAACACCAGAAAGTGATGAGTCCCTAACAACACTTAAAAAACCAAAAGGACTGCAGATGCTGTAAATCAGGGACAAAAACAGAAGTTGCTGGAAGCTCGGCACATCTGGCAGCATCTATTAAGAAAAAAAAAATCACAGTTAACGTTTCGGGTCCTGTGGCCCTTCCTCAGAATGGAGGAAGAGTCACCACACCAGAAAAGTTCTGATTTTTTTTCTTCACAGATGCTGCCACACGTGTTGAGCTTCCAGCAACTTCTGTTTTTGTCCCTGACAACACTTACTACAGTTCAGAAAACTGTTGCACAAACAAATAAATGGTCAACTTTTCAGATCAGGTTCTTCAGCTATGAGCCATTAAATGAGATCCCTCCTATTTTCACAACAAATTGAAGTAAATTCCATGCCACTATTTCAAAAAAAAAAAGGGGCAAAGTTATCTGCAGTAAAACTTGTGCGTTTTTGATTGTATCAGCAATTAAATAGTTGTGGTCAATTGGTGATTGGAAAAAGCAGTAATCCACTCTTTTAATCATCGTCTGACGTTAATATTTATTTCTTGCTGTTTTCTCAAATTTAAGTATTAGCCTTCACAGACAGGTTTTTTAAAAATTTTGTTTTTTCATTCTTCCATCTTTCCTCACTGCAAACCATGGCAAAATAAATTGCGTGAGTTGAAGCAGAAAGGTTCTAAATAGGCCTCGATAGGTTAGAAGCAGGAAAATTGTTTCCGATGGTAGAGGACTCCAGAATCAGGGGTCACAGTTTACCGATAAGGGGTAAACCTTTTGGATTAAAGGGAGAAATTTCATCATCCAGACTTAGTGAGTCTGTGCAATTCACCATCAAAGAAAGTAGTGGGAACCTCGTGGCTAAAGAGATCAAGGTGGGAGGGGATTGCGGAAGACAGGATTAAGGTTTTAAGCTCGATGATCAGCCATGATCACAGTGAATGACAAAGCAGCCTCAAGGGGTCAAATAGCCTACTCTTGCTCCTGTCTTCTAGGTTTCTATGATGGGAAAAGGACAAAACAAGGAGGCAGATAGAAGGCAGTAAGTACAACATGGCCAAGCAAAATTACAACCACTTTGAACCCGCGAAAGACAAATCAGAGATACCATTATACTTGTCCTGGAGAAAATGGGACTTTAACCCAGGCCTCCTAGTTCACAGGTAGAGACATGACCACTACATCACAAGAGCCCTCAAAGAACAAACATTCACCAGGCTTCAGCAATGCAAGGATAGCATAGAGTGTGGCACCTTAAGCACTTGGCCATCCACAGAAATTGTCAATATTTTTAAATCAAAAGACAAATCAGAATACTGCTTTAAATAGGGAGACATTAAGCACTGCAAAGGGCCATAAAAGGTTCAGCGTTTATGTATTCAAAAAGGTCAATGGTAAGTCAGTCTTTATACCAAGTGGACTAGAGTAGAAAAGTGAGTAAGCAATGCTCTGGTCTGTGTCATCTGGAGCAGACAACTCATTAATCAGGGTGTCAGGAAGAATATATACTGGCATTGGATGAGGTACAGCTGTTTCACCAAAGTTATAGGAGGGCTGGTGAAGATGGGACTGTTTAAATTTAGCATCCATTTCTTTTGAGTTTAGAAGTCCCACTTAAAATGATTAAGGGATTAGATAGATTAGTTAGGAATGCACAATCTTAAAATTACAGGATGGACGTTCAGGAGCTAAATCAGGAAACAGCTTTGCTCAAGGCTCAAGAAAATATGGAAACTCCTGCCATCCCTTGGAAATGTCCCTTATTGGGATAAAAGCATTAAATTGATACTTTCAAACTGGACGAGAGAGTGTTTTATGAGGAAAGGATATCAAGTGAAACAGTGGAGGTAGAATTCATCCACTTTCTAACAGAACAGTGCAGCAATCTCAAGTGGATGAACAGTTCATTCCTGCTCCCATATTCCATAATTTCACCTTAACCAAAAGTGGTGATGATTTGGTCTGGATTAGCTATTTAGTTGTTGGTTATCTTCCAGCACTTTACCAAAAGCAGCAATTATTCAAACAGGAATTTGAACAACGAGCGCTGATAGATGATCTGACCAACAAAGAAATCGGCAATGCCCAGTCGATTTTCTCCTGCAATGGATGTTTACAATTTGCAGTATTAAACTTGGTCACTTCCTGCAAACTCAGCATTAAACCCATTAAACCATCAGAGAAGAGATAGTAGGAACTGCAGATGCTGGAGAATCCGAGACAACAAGGTGCAGGGCTGGATGAACACAGCAGGCCAAGCAGCATCATAGGAGCAGAGAGGCTGACGTTTCGGGCCTAGACCCTTCATCAGAAAAGGGGGAGGGGAAGGGGGTTTTGAAATAAATAGGGAGAGAGTGGGAGGCAGATAGAAGAGGGATAGAGGAGAGGATAGGTGGAGAGGAAACAAACAGGTCGAAGAGGCGGGGATGGGGCCAGGAAAGGTGAGTGTAGGTAGGGAGTTAGGAAGGGGATAGGTCAGTCCAGGGAGGACGGACAGGTCAAGGGGGTGGGATGAGGTTGGTCGGTAGGAGATGGAGGTGCGGCTTGGGGTGGGAGGAGGGGATAGGTGGGAGGAAGAACAGGGACGAGTTGGACTGGTTTTGGGATGCGGTGGGGGGAGGGGAGATTTTGAAACTTGTGAAATCCACATTGATACCATTGGGAAGCTCATTTGCGCTGTTGTTAAGTATCAGTCTTGATTTAAATGGTTCATTACAGTTAGTGTTGAGGTTTAGTCATTCAAAAACCTGAGTGAACAATCTTTGGGCCACCAAGAAAGTGCTGCAGTGTCAGGAATGCCATTCAAGCTGAAATATTAGATCCTTTCAGTGGAGACATCACGAAGCTTTTACAAGCAGAGTGATTTGAAAGGAATGGTGACATGTCTAAATGAGAGGAGTTGGTGAGGAGGGAGCTTAATGGTATCCCTACTGTTGTTAGCCTCTTCATTCAAAGTGGTAGGTTCAAAGGATTGAAAAGTGTTGACAAATTGCATAATTGTACGCTGTAGATGGCAGGACCCAACAATGTACATTGGCTAGCAGGTTATAAGTAACTAAATGTTGTTTAATAGGGCTGCCATTTACAACTTCCAGCCCATTAGTATGCCCTTTTGAACTGTTAGAACTGCTTCTAGTTTATCCTAATTAATCATGATTATGTCGCATATGGTGGAAACTCTCTGCAGTGCAAATTTAACGTGATATTGTTTCCACAAAGATGCTTGTGATGGTCATTCCTACAAATAAACTGAGTACCATTGTACCACAATGGCACAAACACAGTCTAACAGCTGTCATGAACTTGACCAGTGGCTAGTGACAAATGTGTTGAACTGAAATTCCCCACCCACAGTATTCTGTACCCATATTACCCTTATGCTCCATTCAAGTGATTTTCAAAATGGAGGAGTACTGATTCAACAGCTGACAGAAGGCAGTCACAGGAGTTAGCAAGTTTCCTTGTTCTATTTGACGTGATACCGCAAGACTCCCTACGGTCTGGGGTTAGGAAGAATAAAAGGTGACTTCATTGAGGCATACAAGTTCCTGAAGGATCTTGACACTCGCATGGAAAAATGCTGTCAGGAAGAGAGGGTGTGTTAACGTTTACTGAGGCATGAACCATTAAAAGGAACAGACCCTTCAAAATACTGAAAGGGGATAGCAGGCAGAGAGACCATGCTGGAGCTGGTAAAACACTGTAGTATGATCTGTTGAAAACAAAGGCTGCTGGACACAGAAGGTAGGATAGGGAGAATCCTATCAAAGTCCTGGGAAGGAAGGGGTGACAGAAGTTCATAAAATGAATAAAGTAAGTTGGAGGACCCTCTACACCATGGCAAGTGGTAATTCTCAGTTGAAGTAAACAGAAGACATTACAAGGAGCAATCATATATAAAACTGCATCATCAGAACAGATGTGACAGAGACGAAGAAACTGGAATGACAAGTTCATAAGACACGGGAGCAGAATTAGGCAGAATGCGCTCTACCATTCAATCGTGGCTGATATGTTTTTCAACCCCATTCTCCTGCTTTCTCCCCATGACCTTACTAATCAAGAACCTAACTCTGACTTAAGAACTTGGCCTCAACTGCATTCTGTTGCAAAGTCAATGAGCTCCACCGATTCACTACCCAATGGCTGAAGAAATTCCTCCTTAGCTCTGTTCTAAAGAGTCACCCACTCACTAATTCTGTGCTCTCGGGCCCCAGTCTCTCCTACTTGTGGAAATATCTTTTCCACGTCCATCCAGGCCTCTCAGTATTTTCGAAGTTTCAACAAGATCCCCTCTGCTCCTTCTAAACTCCATTGAGTAGACCCAGAGCACTCAACCACTCCTCCTATGACAAGCCCTCCATTCCCAGGTTCATTCTTGTAAACCTCCTCTGGGCTACCCTCCAATGCCAGCACATCCATCCTTAGGTCTCAGACCCAAAACTGCTCTCAATTTCCCAAATGCGGTCCTATCAGTGCCTTTTACAGCCTCAGCAGTACACTTCTGTTCTTGTATTCTAGCGTTCTCGAAATGAATGCCAACATTGCATTTGCCTTCTTAACTGCCAACTGAACCTGCATGTTAACCTTAAGAGAATCTTGAACTAGGACTCAGGCGTCCCTTTGTGCTTCAGATTTTCAAAGCCCTTCCCACTTTAGAAAATAATCTAAGCCTCTATTCTGCCTGAAGTGCATAACCTCACAGTTTCCCACACTGTATTCCATCTGCCACTTCTTTGCCCACTCTCGTAGCCTGTCCAAGTCCTTCTGCAGCCTCCCTACTTCCTCAACATGACCTACCCCTCCACCTATGTTTGTATAATCTACAAATTTAGCAACAAAGCCACAGTTCTTTTGTCCAGATTGTTAATGTATAACATGAACAGTTATGGTCACAACACTGACCTCTGTAGAACTCTACTAGTCACTGGCTGCCATCGCGAAAAGACCCCTTTATCCCTGCCCTCTGTCAGTCAGCCAATCCTTTATCTATATCAGTACGTTTTCCCTAATATCGTGGGGTCTCATTTTATTTAGCAGCCTTCGGCGTCACCTTGTTAAAGATCTTCTGGAAATCCAAACAGATCACATGCACTGGCTCTCCTTTATCTAACATGCTTGGTACCTCCTCAAAAGAATTCTCACAGACTTGTCATGCATGACCTCCCCTTGACAAGGCTGTGCTGATTCAGCCCTGTTTTGTCATGCACTTCCAAATACTCCATAATCTCATCCTTAATAATGGACTCTAAAATCTTACTGACGACTACAGTCAAGCTAACCGGCCTCTATTTTCCAGTCTTCTGCCTCCCTCCCTTCTTAAACATTAGCCATTTTCCAGTCCTCTGGGACCTTCTCTGACTCTAGCAATTCCTGAAAGATCACTACCAATGCATCTACAATCTCTTCAGCTATCTCCTTCAGAATTCTGGGTGTATGTAACTTGTCCCTAGGAAAGCTTGCTAAACAGAAATCACTTCCAAATAACATAACTATATGGAGGATATGTTCCCAACCGGTAATTTTTACATTATAAACCTGCTGACAGCCTTAAAGCAAAGTAACTCCAAAACTCACTTCCTGTTTGCCACTTAAATATCCCAGGCTCTCCTTTTTGCCAATTCTACTCCCCAACCTGCACTGTTCTTCCCATTTCCTACTCAACTTTCACTTAGGGGCAAGCAATGAGCTGGGGAGGGTGAAAGAGGCAGCAAAGAAAAACAAAGAACTGCACATTCTGAAATCAGAAACAAACAGAAATTGCTGAGAAACTCAGCGGGTCTGGAAGTATCAGAGAGAAAGCGGTGTTAGCGTTGAGTCCAGTGACCCTTTTTCAGAGATAGTAGGAACTGCAGATGCTGGAGAATCTGAGATAACAAGGTGTAGAGCTGGATGAACACAGCAGGCCAAGCAGCATCAGAGGAGCAGGAAGGCTGACATTTTGGGCCTAGACCCTTCATCAGAAATGGGGGAGGGGAAGGGGGTTCTGAAATAAATAGGGAGAGAGGGGGAGGCGGATAGAAGATGGATAGAGGAGAAGATAGATGGAGAAGAAACAGACAGGTCAAAGAGGCGGGGATGGAGCCAGTAAAGGAGAATGTAGGTGGGGAGGTAGGGAGGAGATAGGTCAGTCCAGGGAGGACAGACAGGTCAAGGGGGCGGGATGAGGTTAGTAGATAGGAGATGGGGGTGGGGCTTGAGGTGGGAGGAGGGACAGGTAGGGAGGCGGGGACGAGCTGGGCTGGTTTTGGGATGCGGTAGGGGGAGGGGAAATTTTGAAGCTTGTGAAGTCCACATTGATACCATTGGGCTGCAGGGTTCCCAAGCGGAATATGAGTTGCTGTTCCTGCAACCCTCCACCGACACCCTCATCCGCTTAGCCGAACTCGTCCTCACCCTCAACAACTTCTCTTTCAATTCCTCCCACTTCCTACATACAAAGGGGGTGGCCATTGGTACCCGCATGGGCCCAAGCTATGCCTGCCTCTTTGTAGGTTACGTGGAACAATCCCTCTTCCGTACCTACACTGGCCCTAAACCCCACCTCTTCCTCCGTTACAATGATGACTGTATCGGCGCCGCCTCTTGCTCCCACGAGGAGCTCGAACAGTTCATCCACTTTACCAACACCTTCCACTCCAACCTTAAGTTTACCTGGACCATCTCTAATACCTCTCTCTCCTTCCTGGACCTCTCTGTCTCCATCTCTGGCAACCACCTAGAAACTGATATCCATTTCAAGCCCACCGACTCCCACAGCTACCTAGAATATACCTCCTCCCACCCACCTTCCTGCAAAAATGCCATCCCCTATTCCCAATTCCTTCGCCTCCGCCGCATCTGCTCCCAGGATGAGGCATTCCACTCCCGTACATCTCAGATGTCCTCGTTTTTCAAGGACGGCAACTTGCCCCCCTCAGTGGTCCAGAACGTCCTCGACCGTGTCTCCCGCATTTCCCGCAACTCATCCCTCACACCCACTCCCCGCAATAACAACCAAGACAGAATCCCCCTCGTTCTCACGTACCACCCCATCAACCTCCAGATCCAACGCATCATCCTCCGACACTTCCGCCATCTGTAATCCGACCCCACCACCAAAGACATTTTTCCCTTCCCACCCTTATCTGCTTTCCAGAGGGACCACTCTCTCCGTGACTCCCTTGTCTGCTCCACACCCTCCTCCAGCCCCACCACACCCAGCACTTTTCCCTGCAACCGCATGAAGTGCTACACCTCCTCCCTCACCCCCATCCCAGGCCCCAAGAAGACTTTCCACATCAAGCAGATGTTCACTTGCACATCTGCTAATGTGGTATACTGCATGTGCTGTACCCATTGTGGCCTCCTCTACATCGGGGAAACCAAGCGGAGGCTTGGGGACCGCTTTGCAGAACACCTACGCTCGGTTCGCACTAAACAACTGCACCTCCCAGTCGCGAACCATTTCAACTCCCCCTCCCATTCCTCAGACGACATGTCCATCCTGGGCCTCCTGCAGTGCCACAACGATGCTACCAAAAGGTTGCAGGAACAGCAACTCATATTCCGCTTGGGAACCCTGCAGCCCAATGGTATCAATGTGGACTTCACAAGCTTCAAAATCTCCCCTCCCCCTACCGCATCCCAAAACCAGCCCAGCTCGTCCCCGCCTCCCTAACCTGTCCTCCCTCCCACCTCAAGCCCCACCCCCATCTCCTACCTAACCTCATCCTGCCCCCTTGACCTGTCCATCCTCCCTACCTACACTCACCTTTACTGGCTCCATCCCCGCCTCTTTGACCTGTCTGTCTCCTCTCCACCTATCTTCTCCTCTATCCATCTTCTATCCGCCTCCCCCTCTCTCCCTATTTATTTCAGAACCCCCTTCCCCTCCCCCTCCCCCATTTCTGAAGAAGAGTCTAGGCCCGAAACGTCAGCCTTCCTGCTCCTCTGATGCTGCTTGGCCTGCTGTGTTCATCCAGCTCGACCCTTTTTTCAGAATTGATCACCAGACCCAAAACAACAAGCAGATTAGGCTCATATTCATTGGAGTCTAACACAGTGGCTCAGTGGTTAGCACTGCTGCCTCAGCACCAGGGGCCCGGGTTTGATTCCACCCTCAGGTGACTGTGTGGAGTTTGTACACATTCTCTCTGTATTTGCGCGAGTTTCCTCCAGTGCTCTGGTTTCCTCTCACCGTCCAAAGATGTGCAGGTTAGGTGGACTGGCCATGCTAAATTGCCCATTGTGTTCAGGGATGTGTAGATTAGGGGGATGGGTCTGGGTAGGATCTTCTGAGGGTCGGTGCGGACTTGTTGGGCCTGTTTCCACACCGTAGGGATTCTATGATCTAAAAGCGCTTTTGTACAGCGGCAGAGACCAAATCTCCGAGTCAGGTTCAAGTCCTACATGCTCTAGGTGTGTAATAATATCTCTGAACAGGATATTATAAAAACACCAAAAGAATGAGTCAACCTTCCAGAGACTTAAAAGGTTCAGACGTGGGCAGCAAAGAGAGGGAGGGGCTAGAAATTGACATTGCTTCCCTTTTGAAGGGACCCTAAGGGAGGCAGTTTCAAAACAAGCAGTTGCCCAATTAAATCAAAAAAGTGAGGAAAAATATATTTTCTGAAAGGTTTGCAGGATTTTATCCCGCCAGAAATCCACTGGGTCATTGAATACATTGAAGGCTGAGTGACAGAATTTTGATGAAAAGTACTCAAAGGTTACGAGGGTAGGCAGGCAGAAATGAAAAGTTCGGTCAGTTGGAGATGACAGAGAACGAAATGGTCTAGTCCTGCTCCTCTGTCTCAGGTTCATTCACAGCCCGGCACAAATTTCAGGCGGATTTTGCAAGGAAATAGGGAAGCTACAGCGTAGTCCCGTTAACTTCTCTCCATTATCCCGTCTGCAGGTCCTGCCAGACCTGTTGGGGTTCTCCAAAGTTTCCCTTTAAAAGGTGATTTCAGTTTCACTGCCTGGTAGGAGACGGTGAACAGCTCAGGGAGTGGGTTACATTTAGAATCGAGGAAAATGTGGAATGGGGCAAGGTGGTGGGGGGGGGGCGGTGGAATAAAAGAGAAATCGATTTGAGTTGGAGGATGAAGCGACTGGATTTTAAAGGGAATGTTGGTTGTGGGGGGGAGGGGGAGGGGGAGGGGGAGGGGGAGGGTGCTGTTAAGAAGAGGATGGTTGAAGTGAAGGTACATTTTAAGACTCAGCTGACTGGATGTCTGAAACCCAAAAGTTAACAAAATAACAGGACAGACACAGAACTGTAATTTAAAAAAAAAACCCAGCAGCAGCAGCAGGAAATAACCGTCTAGCCGCCAGGTCTGTAAATCCAACTGCGTTATTCGGTTTTTTTCCCCCCTCGAGCGGGTCGACAAATAAGAAGAAGCAGCACACAAAAATAAATAGAAAGTTAAATAACAACCGTCCACCCCCTCCCCTCGAGGCCGCTTACCGAGATGCGGTGAAGTGTCCGGACACGGCTGTAACGGCGGGCGAGAGGGAGACGGGGACTCGACGCTGCCGTTGGCGTTTGTGGTGTTGGGGACCGGGACCGTGCCCGCCTCTGTGTCGATCCTATCCGCCACCAGGAAGCTGCCGAAGCGCCGCACCATCTGCCCGCTGTAGACGTGCATGTCCAGGTAGTAGAGCAGGGTAACAGTGAGGTGAACCCCGCTCAGCACCATCACCGCTAGGCACGTCACATGGAGCCCACGGCCCGGCATCACCGAACTCAGCGCCATACCTTCCAAACACTACCACCGAACGCGGACCCGGACCCGGACCCGGACCAGCGGCTCCCCTCCCCGTAGGGGAAGCCTCCAGACAAGCGGTCGGAGCTAGCCCGGAGGGTTGGGCCCGCGAGACAAACCAATCAGAGCCGCGCCCGCTCGGGGAGCCTATCAGAACCGCGTACGTTTGGGAGGGCTTGCCAATCAGAGCTAGGCCTTTTCGGAATACGGGGCCAATCAGGTCGTAGACCCCCCGACTAGAGCCAATCAGAACCTGTTATATTCGAAAACTAGCCAATCAGAGCCGGGTCCGCTGGTAGTGGGTAATTGGTGCCGTGCTCGTGGGAAGGTTCACTGGATCCGAAACTTTTAACTCTGATTTCTCTCATTAGATGATGCCAGACCTACTGAGCTTTTCTAACAACTTCTTTTCTCGTTCCTGATTTACAGTATCTGCAGTTCTTTCATTTTTTAATGGAGCATGGTTCTATCATGAAACATCCAAAATTCGAGACGCCTGGAAAACTGACCAACCAACCAATGTCACCCCTAGGAAAATGCAACTATAGTCCCATTGAGGGACAAGGGGAACCAGTCAGAATAGCAGTGGCATTTAAAAATTCTTTCATGTAGTGCGAACATCAGGCTAGTCCAGCATTCACTGCTCATCCCTCATTGTCTTTGAGAAGATGGTGATTGTCTGTATTTTTGAAGTAGTCCTTAGGGTGTTGATAGATCCACAGGACTACTGCAGAGGGAGTTGCAGGATTTCAATCCACGTGCCTTCAAGAGCTGTCACTTGTGACCAGGAACACATCATTTTTAGAGATAGTAGAGAATCTCAGACAACGAGGCGTAGAGCTGGATGAACACAGCAGGCCAAGCAGCATCAGAGGAGCAGGAAAGCTGACGTTTCGGGTCTAGACCCTTC